TACATTGTGTGTGCCCGTGACCACTATGTGCTGGGCCCTGCCTTCCCCCTTCATGCCCTGAGCTGGGGTAGAGTGGGCACCAACCTGGACCCTTGGGGTCCCTCCCTTGCTGTGACAGGGGCGATGTGGACCTGTCAGCAGTCTGCGAGTATCAATTGGAAGAGATCCAGAAGGTGTTCAAGGGTCCCTATAAGGAGTACCGTGAGCAGTCCCAGAAATGGGGCCCCTATACTGACCCAGTACCCAGCCCGCGGCCGGGTTCGGTGAGTTGTCCAGGGAGGGGTGTGCTGCTGCCCTCACCCCCGGTGCCATTCCCATGGGCCGACCATTCTGCTCTCCCCCAACCTCATGCCCCAGTGCATCAACAACTGGCACCGTCTCCATGGCTACACCAGTTCTCTGGAGTTGCCTGACAACACCCTCAACTTCATCAAGAAACACCCGCTGATGGAAGAGAAGGTGAAGCCTCGCTGGGGCCGGCCCCTGCTTGTAAAGAAGGACACCAACTTCACCCACCTGGTTGCTGACCGGGTCATGGGGCTTGATGGAGCCTCCTATACAGTGCTGTTCATTGGCACAGGTAGGCACGTGGGCACACAGGCCTGGCTGCTGGAGGCTGGCTGAAGGCCGGTGTGCCTGGACAGGGTGATCTGGGGATGCGCTGGGGCCCTTGTGCACTCCTTGATATCTGTCCTTTCCCCTCCCTCCCAGGAGATGGCTGGCTGCTTAAGGCTGTGAGCCTGGGGCCCTGGGTCCACCTGATCGAGGAGCTGCAGGTGTTTGACCAGGAGCCCATGAAAAGCCTGGTCCTGTCCCGGAGCAAGGTAGTAATCAGGTCCCACCTGCAGCTGTTCCTCCACATTTCCTAGTCTTGTGCTTGGCTCTTTCAGGGCTGGGGAGCCACTCAAGCGCACCTCACTTAGCTTGGGGGGACTTCCAGGAAATCAGTCCTAATGGATCTTGTGCTCTGTGTAGGCCGTGTGTACAGTCAGGTCCCTGTGTGGTTGCATTGCCCCTGCATTCCTGACCCCCATGCCTTCCTACTTCCCTGAGGCATCTTACCTTTTTCTGGCCCGTTGTGGCACCCTAAACTTTAATGTGTTTGCCTTTTACCAACTTTTGTGGCTTAAATTGTTCCCCAGAACATGGAATAATGGCAGATTGGCAATCCAAACAGGAAAACAGCTTATGCTATGCTGCTATTATTGTGAGGGCCGATGGGCCTTGCAGAAAACATACTTCCCACGCAATTTATTATATAGTACTGGAGCAGTGTTGGGGAGGGGGTGTATCTGTGAGTGTGATTATACTCAGCCCCACAGGGCTGCTGTTCCTCTCTAATAAGGTCACATCTATAAAGTGCTTAGGATGGCAGCTGGCTTGCAATAAGCCCTCCATGGGTTCTTTGGTCCTTAGATTTCCATCCTTGGTTCTCCCTTCTTTTGGCCTCTTTTGCTCTGTGCTGCACCCCCTCCCCCCAGCAGTCCCACCTGTGCCCAGGCTGTGTCTGGGTCTGGCTGACCCTCCTATGCCCACTGCTTCTCTTGCAGAAGCTGCTGTTTGCGGGTTCCCGATCACAGCTGGTTCAGCTGCCCCTGGCCGACTGTGTGAAGTACCGTTCCTGTGCAGACTGCATCCTCGCTCGGGACCCCTACTGCGCCTGGAGCATCAATACCAGTCGCTGTGTGGCTGTTGGTGGCCACTCTGGGTAAGCAGGGCTCTGCTCCTATTGGGACCAGGAGAGGAAGGCAGGTGGTTGGAGCGGGGATGCTGACAGACCCTGCTTCCCCAACCAGATCCCTGCTGATCCAGCAAGTGACAGTCTCAGACACCTCAGGCATCTGTAACTTCCGCGGCAGTAAGAAAGGTGAGCTGTCTTTTGCCCTCCTCCCAGTGGGATGGGCCCTAGGCCAGAGCTGGAGTGCCTGTACCTCCCCTTGACCCTGGGTTTCCTGTACTAACTCTGGACCTTCTTTCCCGGCCGCTGCAGTCAGGCTCACGCCCAAAAACATCACAGTGGTGGCGGGCACAGACCTGGTGCTGCCCTGCCGCCTGTCTTCCAACCTCGCCCATGCCCGATGGACCTTTGGGGGCCGGGACCTGCCTGCAGAACAGCCTGGCTCTTTCCTCTATGATGCTCGACTACAGGCTCTCGTCGTGATGGCCGCCCAGCCCCGCCACGCGGGGGCCTACCACTGCTTTTCAGAGGAGCAGGGGGCACGGCTGGCTGCTGAAGGCTACCTGGTTGCTGTGGTGGCGGGCCCTTCATTGACCCTGGAGGCCCGGGCACCCCTGGAAAACCTAGGTCTGGTGTGGCTGGCTGTGGTGGCCTTGGGGGCCGTGTGCCTGGTGCTGCTGCTGCTTGTTTTGTCACTGCGTCGTCGGCTGAGGGAGGAGCTGGAGAAAGGTGCCAAGGCGGCAGAAAGGACCCTGGTATACCCTCTGGAGCTTCCCAAGGAACCCACCAGCCCCCCCTTCCGCCCTGGCCCCGAGACCGACGAGAAACTCTGGGACCCTGTTGGCTACTACTACTCAGATGGATCCCTCAAGATTGTGCCTGGACATGCTCGGTGCCAGCCTGGAACTGGGCCACCTTCCCCACCTCCTGGCATCCCTGGCCAGCCCCTGCCATCCCCAACTCGGCTCCACCTGGGGGGTGGGCGGAACTCAAATGCCAATGGTTATGTGCGCTTACAGCTAGGGGGGGAAGACCACGGCGAGGGGCTTGGGCACCCCCTGCCTGAGCTGGCGGATGAACTGAGGCGCAAACTCCATCAGCGCCAGCCCCTACCGGACTCCAACCCCGAGGAGTCCTCGGTATGAGGGACCCCCACCACGTTGGTGGGGCAGCCTGGGAGCCGTGGCTCCCACTTTTGCACAGGCACCAGCTACCTCAGGGACATGGCGCAGGCACCTGCTCTACTGGGATAGACCCTGCCCAGCATCCGCCTGCCCATGAGGACCTGCTCTGCTCAGCACGGGCACTGCCACTTGGTGTGGCTCACCAAGGCACCAGCCGCCCAGAAGGCGTCTTTCTCCTCTCTGTGAGGGGCTGTGAATCACGGACACATGGGACCCCAGCAGCCAAAACTAAAAGACAGAAGTTGGAAATATGGGTGTGTTTGTGTATGTATGTGTGTCTGCGCATGTGGGTGTGTTTGTGTGACACAGTCTTCCTGTTTCCGTGGAGTCTTCCCTTGGCCTGGGGTCCTCCTGGTGAGTCATTGGAGCTATGAAGGGGAAGGGGTCGGGGTCGATCACTTTGCTTCTCTTACCCCCAGCTGTCCCCAGGGAGGGGCAGGGATGTACATACGGGGGTGGGCTGGGCAGGGTGCTGTACCCCTGGGTGGTGCAGGGCCTGGGGTGGGCCTAGTCCTGCTCCTAGGGTTGTGAAAGTTTTCAGGGTTCGGGGGAGGGAGTGGAGCCTCCTGTGTGTTTGGGGGAAGGGGGGAAGGGCCTCCCACTTGGCCCTGGGGTTCAGTGATATTTTACACTTGCCCTCCCTCACAGGGCGGGGAGAGGTGTGGTGGGAGGGGGGAGAGGGTGGGCATTCTATGGATATGGCATATCCTCTCCCAGCCCTGGAGGAGGGCTCCTAACTGTAACTTATTGTGTCCTGACATATTTATTTGTTGTAAATATTTGAGTATTTTTATATTGACAAATAAAAGGGAGAAAATAAAACCGACTGGGATGAGATATTTGGGCTAAAACCTGGGTCTCAAGAGGGAAGGCTCCCTGTGGGCTAAGTGAGGCTGGACCACTCCCCTGGGGCAGCTCCCCTTCTGCGGGAGTGGGACAGCCCAGACTCCAATGTTTTCCCACAGTGCTGGCTGTGGGGCTGGGAACCAGGCCAGGGCCAAGGCCTATTGGGAGCTCGCCTTGGCTTCTATCCCAAGGGAGAAGGTGGGGAATTGGGAGTCAAAGCAGAAAAGGAACTGACTTCCCAGAACTCTGGGAAGGGGAAGTGGGAATGAGGGTGGAAGGAAGTGAACTTCCTGGAAGCCGCTTAAGATTGTGCGCACCAGCTGTGACGCTGGGGTTCCCAAGGATCTTAGCGGGAGGAAAGGTTATTTCTAGCCTTCTACTTGCCAGGAATGCTTCAGCTTCGTGGGACAGGGTACTTTACCCAGGGCCACCCAGTGCGCACCAAGCCACTAGCCTATGAAAGGAGTGATGCAGGGTACAGATACAATTATAAGAAAAACAGGAACTAGCCTGAAATGTGTAAGTTGCCCACAGATAGGCCGTGGAAGTGAAGTGTGCGGTACTCTTGACTGGTCTGGGGGTCTGCTGTGGCCAGAAGAGGCTGCAGCCCTGGGTGTCCTAGGTGCCCATTATGGCATGGAGGCGGGGAGGGGGGGTCCACACAACCCAACGCCTTTTCCTTGCTCTCTGGGTTTACCGTTGCTCTTGGTGGCACCTAGCTCCCACAGGTTTTGAAGAAACGGGCCATCTCTGGCTGGTGTGGCTCAGTGGGTTGAGCGCCGGTCTGCGAACCGAAAAGTGCGGGTTGGATTCCCGGTCAGGGCGCGCGCGCGCACACACACTCAAAAAAGGGCCGAAATGGGCCAGAAGTGCTGGAGGAGGGGAAAGTGTCCCGAGGCCTTCCAAGTGGCCTGCGGTGGGCCGCCTTCCTGGGCTTTGGGTGCTGCAGGAAAGGTGGAGAAGGACCCGTAGGCGGTGCCTCCCTGCCCAGGGAGCCCCAGGGACGAGGGGACAGACCCCTGGAGGGCGGGCTTTGGCGAGCGACTCGGGGGTGCCCCGCCTGGCGCCCCTCCCCTCCGGGGCCCCCTTGCCAAGGCAGTTCCTCCCGCCCCTAAGCTACGCAGCCACCGCTGAGCATGGGGCGCCCCCTTGTGGCAGTCTCCCGAGAGGCGGGCCGCCTGGATCCCGCCCCGCCGCCCAATTGGCTCCCTCTGAGAGTTGGGCGCCTGATTGGATGTCGGGGCCGTGGACGCCGACCCGTCAGGTCCCGCTGACGGCTGGGTGGTGCCCTCCCTACAGCCGGACGGTGCCGCGCCGGCATGGCGGCTCACAGTTGCTCTGCGGACGGTCTCTGCTGCACTCACTCGGGCGTGCGGCAGACTCTGGACGAGATGGACTTCGAGAGGGGTGAGGCGGGGGCGGAGCCGGAGGTGGCCCGCGGCGGTCAGGGGCTCGAGGCCCCGGGTCACAAAGACCCCGTCCTCTCCTTGGCACGAACTCGGCCACTGGAAACGCCGAACGGCGCGCAGGGAGGAAAGCTTGGGTCGCTTGGGTGTCACAGAGGGGCGCCTGGGGATCTGCGCCCATGCTGGGGATGGAGCTGCGGGGCAGGCTGCCGCACAGTGCGGGGAACTAACCTTTCTGAGCCGCTGTGCTGTTTACAACCACGGTGGTCTTCGAGGCCGGCGATGGTCTCCCTACCCGTGGGGCCGGAGAAATAACACTTCTCGCACCTGCCTTCTTTCCTTCACCTCTCCCCACCGTTCCTTAACTCACGAGTGATCTCACGCGTAGTGAGAACTAGTAGGTCTCAGCTGGGACAATTCTGTCCCTTGGCAATCTCTACAGATACTTCATTTGTTACAACTGGGAGGGTGCTACAGGCCTCTAGTAGGTAGAGATCAGGGATGCTGCTTGCAGCCCACAATGCACAGTACAGCTCCCTCGACCCGTAACAGAATTACCTGGCCCACACTGTCAATCGTGCTGCTGTTGAGAAAGTAACCTTGTCCTATGCAAAGTAGGATCCCTTCGCCTCCAGGTTACTCTGGCAGATCAATCACCTTGCTTTCATCAGAGCAATTTTTACAATCTGACATCACGGGCACACCTCGAAGACATTGCAGGTTTGATTTCAGACCACTATAAGAGCAGTATTTCAATAAAGCGAGTTGTAATCTTTTTGCTGGTGGAGGGTCTTCCCTTCAGTTTGTAAAATACAAAACATCTGTGAGGCACAAGGTAAAGTGCAATAAAAGGTGTGCCTGTGTTTTGTTTGCTTGCTCATTTATTATTTATTTTGCATGCATTGAAAATATCCTTTTTTTGTTGTGTGGATATCTGTTCTTCATATCTTTCTTCTGGGTTCATTTTTCTTTTTCCTGAAGTATATCCTTTAATAGTTTTTTCAGTGGGCATGCTCCCCCCCCCCCCCCCCCCCCCCCACACGCAGTTGAAGGGTCACTTAGCTGGTATAAAAATTTAGATTGACAGTTATTTTTCCCCCTCAATCCTTTGGAAATATTATTACTTTACATTCTTGTACCTGCTGCTGCTAAGAATTCTGCTGATAATCTGATTATAATTCTTTAGTGAGAATTTTTTCTTTTGGGTAACATTTTTATTTTTATTTTTAAAGATTGTATTTATTTTTAGAGAGAGGAGAAGGAAGGGAGAGAAACATTGATGTGAGAGAGAAACATCAATTGGTTGCCTCTTGTACATGTGCCAGCAGGGGACCAAACCCAGAATCCAGACATGTGCTCTGACCAGGAATCAAACCAGTGACCTTTCAATTTGTGGGATAATGCCCAACGAGCTGAGAGCACACCAGTCAGAGCTTTTTTATTCTTGATATTCAGTTATTTCACCACGCCGGATTTGTTTTTATTAATCCTCCTTGGCAGTTTTTCATCTGAGAATTCATTGTTGTTTTCACTTCAGGATAATTCTTAGCTGGTACCTCTTAAAACATTTCCTCTCTCCCATTCTGTTTCTCTCTGTTTCTTATTTTTGAAACCTGTACTAGACATATTTTGATACATTATATCTTCTGTGTTTCTTTACTTCTTTAATGTTTTTCTCTTCACTATTCCTCATTCCAAGTGATTTCCAAATCATTAATTGTCTCTTCAGCTGGGTCTGCAGTACTGTTGAATCATCTATTTTTTATTTTAATGATTCTACTTTTTAATTTATTGACTTTTGTTTCAGATCTGCCTGCTCTTTCCCCCTAATGTTCTGTTGATTTGTAGATTCCATTCCTTCATCTCCATGAATACATCAAATGTTTTTAAGTTTTAGATTATACCATGATCGCTAGGTTTTGGAGCATGCATTTTCTCATTTTTCTGAATGTCTTGCATGGCAGTGGATTGCTGCTTGTTTGCCAGCTTCTAATCTTTGAGCTCACTGTGCAGGGCAAGTGTACCTCTTTTGTAAGAGATTATCACACGCAACTTTTGCTGGCTAATAGAAGCATTCTTATGGGGCACTTTTTAAAAATTAATGTATATTTTTTATCCTCACCCAAAGACATGCTTATTGATTTTAAAGAGAAGGGAAGGGAGGAAGAGAGAAAGGGACAGAAACATTGATGTAAGAGAGAAACATCCATCAGTTGCCTCCTGTACAAGCCCCGAATGGGAACCTAACAGGCAATCCAGGCATGTGTCCTGACCAGGAATCACACACACAATCCTTTGGTCTATGGGACATTGCTCCAACCAATGAGCCACACTGAGCTAGGGCTCATGAGTCATTTTTAAAAGTTGCCCCTGCCTGGCCCTTATAGGGTCCACTTGTCTCAATCAGTTTTATGATAGATTTTAAACTGGAGGTTTGCTTTCTAAGGATAATGTAGGTAGATATAAGTCCCACTCTTCCAAGTTGCATTGGTTATTGCATTTGATTTTTTTAGGATTTTTTCTGCCTTTGCTGTCTTCACACACCTATTCAAATGGTGCTGTTTCTCATTTCCTTTAGGTTTCTGTTCAAATGTCACCTTATCAGAGATGCCATCCCTGACCACCACCTATACCCCTTCTCTGCTTTACCCATATTTTGCTGTGTATAATGTGCTCCTGTGTATAATGCTCACCCATGTTTTTGACCCAAACTTTCAGGGAAAAAAAAAATCGATTTAATTTTTTAATTCAATTATTTATTTATTTATTTATTTATTTATTTATATTTAGATACTTGGTTTTTTCGTATTAAAAAGGAATTTTAGCATTTATTTTTGAACACATGGTACAAGAAATTTTAAATAACAAATAATTACAAAGCACAAGAACAGATACAAGGTATTTCAGGTACTGCCCATGTATAATGCACATCCTTATTTTTCCTTCAAAAGTTTGGGCAAAAATGTGCATTATACACAGCAAAATATGGTATTTTTCTTTGTAGCACTTAGCACCACCTGACTTATTTCATGTGTATGTGCGTATACATATATGGGTCTTTCTTTTTTCTGTCTCCTTTAATTAGAATATAAGCTCCCTAAATCCAAAATTTGGGGAAAGGGTTTTTTTCCTCAGCTGACCCTTAGTACCCAGAATAGTGCCAGATGCATAGTGTAAGTATTCAGTAAATATTTGCTGAAAGAGGAAAGGATCTGAGCATGGTGACTTGCTTCCTGCAGCTACTCAGGGTAGGAGACTGGAGAATTTTTCAGTCCCAGTTTATCCACGATGTGCCACCTCCCTCCCGGCTTTGTTGCAGAGAGCCTTATCTAGTTCCCTGCCATGCACAAGGCCTGCAGTCTTTGCTCCAGACTCTGCTCAAGCATAGGACTCTAAGCCTCTGAGGTCGGTGTCTAGTTCTGAGGGTTCTTTGGATCCTACAGTCTCAGTGCTTGCTCACCACTGTCTGTAGTTCTCACCTTGTTCTGGTACCCAGCAGGGTCCTTTTCTTGCTTTTGAATTTGCCTATATATTCAAACATTTCATTTTATGTTATTTTATTATTTTTTTAATGAAGAAGTTGAATGTTTTATTATTAAACTTTCTTGTTTTCCCTCAAGGCTGCTGTTTCACTCTATAAAAATAGTACCAGCAAATTCAGTATATTGCTAAATTAAAATAGTATTGTTCATCATCTGACACTAACAACTAACAAAAACTTTTCTCCACTGCCAGTTATTTCCAATGGAAAGTTCACTAAGTATTTTGACCCAAATACTGGGACTGATGTAAGCAAGTTGCAATGTTATATAATGCTTAAGATAATAATATTTCCCTTGAAATATATAATTTTTATAACTGTATTTCACCACAAATAATTTCAGGAATTCTGAATATTATAACTGTAGCCTAGCCTAAAAATCATAGGGTATTGTAAAAAAAAAAAAAAAGATGCAAATTGTGTTTATCTGCAATAATTATAAAATTAAGGGGTATTTTCTTCTAATTGCATTGTTATAGTTTCTTTTCCCGTTGGTATGGCTAAAAGATGCTCTTTTAAAACTCCTGGCTACCACTAATTTAAGACAACAATGCTAGATTATGTTGTTTCATACTACTTTATTTAGGGGGGGGCCCATTTTTCACTCTAATAGATTTATGTATTTCTCCTATGCATGTCCAGTCATTAGTACATTAGTTCTGAAGGGTTACTAGCTGTCATCTTGATGAGCCAACCATCCTCATAACAAGAGTTGTTGACAAGTCCTGGATTTTCCGCAAGAGCTTTATTAATTTCAGTTACTTCTGTTAGAGGAGAATCGAGTTCATTAGCAGCTTTCCGATTTTCCAAAGCTCCACACCCATGTTGTTTGTTCAATTTTGTCTCCATTTCAGGCAGACTACAGTGAACAACATCTCCTAAATGTTCCAGTACAAAATTTCTGGTTCCCATTGTTCCAAAACCATTTTCTGTTGTTATCCATTCATGTTTCTCTGTGAATTTACAAATTGAGAGTAGATCAGGGCCGTTGCAAAGCCGCCAGGGCGGCTCCTGCCCTCAGGCCCCAGGACCAGGGCTGGTGTGGAACGCAGGCTGCAGGCGGAGACCCTCAAGCTCCACGCTGCTGCTGCTCATAGCCTGTACTCCTCAAATATTTTAAACATCACTCAACATTTGTGTGTTTGAAGTGGGGAGAAAGGATTTCTGTCCCTGCCCAGTCACCCTACCCTTGTCAACAAGCTCATTGTCGTCTGGTTCACATCTACGTCACCAGCACCTAGGAAGTGCTCAGTTAATATTTGTTGAATGAATATTAACCAGGCACCCATTTCTCTCTAATTTACTGGATGAAAAAATGGAGATCAAGAGGTAAAGGAATCATTAAAAGTCCTCATTCAGCATCATTTAGTCCTTTGGTTGTCTCTCCCAGGTATCTGGTCAGCAGCCATGAATGGAGACCTGGGCCGAGTGAAGTATTTAATCCAGAAGGCAGTGGACCCTAGTAAGCCCGACTTGGCTGGCTACACCGCTCTGGTGAGTTAGGAGGAACGGGGTCAGCTTAGGGACCCCTGCATCTGAGGGGGATTCAAGTTTACCTTTTGTCTTCTCTCCCTTTCTTCTCTCCCAGCAGGGTTTCTCTCTCTCTCTCTCTCTCAGTTTTATTTTTTTATTTTTAGAGGGGAAAGGAGGGATAAAGAGCGGGAGGAAACATCAATGTGCGAGAGAAACATCCATCAGTTGCCTCTTGCGCGCCCCCACCGGGACCTGGCCTGCAACCGAGGCATGTGCCCTGACTGGGAATGGAACTGTTGACCTTTCACTTTGCGGGAGGACACCCAGCCCACTGAGCCACATCAGTCAGGGCAGGGATTCTCTTTTCAGTGTCATATGAACCTGGGTTTTTAAATTAGTATTAAGTGCTTTACATTAGTTATTTAATTTCATTTCCATAACACTCTGTGAGGTAGAAATGATCGAGGAAACTGATGCCAGACATGAATACATTTGCCCAGGTCGTAAAGCTGATGGAGAAAGCCCTTGGAGGATCCAGGGCCGATTGCCACCCCCTCCCACCAAGTCACTTGCCTGGTTCTGCTGTCCAACCTCAGTCTCTGTTCCCTGCAGCACTATGCCAGCCGCAATGGGCACTACGCAGTGTGCCAGTTCCTGCTGGAAAATGGGGCCAAGTGTGATGCCCAGACACATGGGGGTGCCACCGCCCTGCACCGGGCCAGCTACTGTGGGCACACTGATATTGCACGGCTTCTGCTCTCACATGGGTCCAACCCCAGGCTGGTAGATGACGATGGCATGACCAGCCTACATAAGGTATGCCTGCTTTCCCCCTTCAAAAACCTGTTCTTGGTCATTATAAAAGGCACATGTTCACTTTAGGAAACATGGGGAAAACATAAAAGCATAAAGTAGAAAACAAAAATCATTTCTAATCTCAGTGTTCACTTTCATCACTTTGGGATTAATGTGTAATTTTCCAGCATTTTCCCTGTGCACTACATAAAAATATGGAGCAGTTTACGAATTTGCGTGTCATCCTTTCATCCTATGCATGTACACTGAAATTAAATGTAGTGTCATTTTGTTTTTCTTTCTTTTGATGATGTCTGAATGTTTTTCCCCCTAGTTGTCTCCTGAAACTTACACCTGCTCTCGCCTTTCCCTGTAGTCCACTCTCCGTGCTATAGCTAGACTAATCATTTCATTACATTTCTCACTAGAAATTCCTACATGGGGTAGACAATTTTAGGCATACAAGATGGTAAGCTGTGAAAGTGAATTTCCCTTCAACCCCTGACCCTAGGCCGTCAGTCTTCTAGGTCTCTCTCTTGAGGCATAATTTTTACCCATTTTTTTTGTTTCAAAATATATTTCATTGATTATGTTATTACAGTTGCCCCAATTTTTCCCCCTTTGCCCCTCCCCCACCCAGCACTCCCCACTCCCTCAGGCAATCCCCACCGCTTTGTTCATGCCCATGGGTCATGCATAGGTTCTTTGGCTACTCCATTTCCTATACTGTACATTCCCATGGCTATTCTATGACTACCAATTTGTACTTCTTAATTCCCTCACCTCTACACCCATTCACCCAAACCCCACTCCCATCTGGCAACCGCAAAATGCTCTCTATATCCATGATTCTGTCTCCATTCTTCTTGTTTGCTTAGTTCGTTTTGTAGATTCAATTACTGATACATATGTATTTATTACAATTTTACTGTTCATTGTTTTGATCTTCTTTTTCTTAAATAAGTTCATATAACATTTTATATAATAATGGTTTGGTGATGATGAACTCCTTTAGATTTTTCCTTGTCTGGGAAACTCTTTATCTGCCCTCAATTCTAAATGATAGCTCTGCTGGGTAGAGCAATCTTGGCTGCAAGGTCCCTGCTTTTCATGAGTTTGAATATATCTTGCCAATCCCTCATAACCTGCAAAGTTTCTTTTGAAAAATCAGCTGACAGTCTTATGGGAACTCCTCTGTAGGTAACTACCTTCTTTTCTCTTGCTGATTTTAAGATTCTCTTTGTCTTTAGCCTTTGGCATTTTAATTATGATGTGTCTTGGAGTGGGCCTCTTTGCATCCATCTTGTTTGGGACTCTCTGTGTTTCTTGGACTTCCATGTCTATTTCCTTCACCAGATTAGGGAGGTTTTCTTTCATTATTTTTTCAAATAGATTTCCAATTTCCACCTCTTACTCTTCTCCTTCTGGCCCCCCTATTATGTGAATGTTGGTGTACTTGAGGTTGTCCCAGAGGCTGCTTATACTACCCTCATTTTTTTTCTTCATTCTTTTTTCTTCTTCTTGTTCCAATTGGTTGTTTTTTGCTTCCTTATGTTCCAAGTCATTGATTAGACTCTCAGCTTCATCCATTCTACTGTTCTTTATTTCTGTTATATCCTTCATTTCTGCCTGGCTCTGTTCCATGAGCATCCCTATAATCAGTGTTTTGAATTGTGCATCTGATGAATCGCTCACTTCCATTTTGTTTGGTTCTTTTTCTGGACTTTCGCTCTCTTCTTTCATTTGGGCTATGTTTCTTTGTCTCCTCATTTTGCCACCTTCCTGTGTTTGTTTCTATATGTTAGGTAGAGCTGCTGTGACTCCCTGTCTTGGTAGCGTGGCGTAATATAGTAAGTGTCCTGTAGGATCTGGTGGCACAGCCTCCCCTATCACCCAACCTGGGTATTCAAGGTGTACCCTCCGTGTGGGCTGAGTACACTCTTCTCTTGTACTTGAGCCTTGGTTGCTGTTGGTAGGTCAATGGGAGGGAATTAACCAGGTCAGTCAGCTGCAAGGACTGGCAGTGACAACTCACCGCCAACCTCCGCCCTCCATGGCGGATCAGCTGTGCAGGGGCAGGGTGGTGGTGCTCTGACGTGGTCTGTAGCTGTCCACTCGGTGCGCTGGCCCTGGGGTTTCCCAGGTGGTGCAGGCCAAGGTCAGCCCCCACCTGTGTTTTGCCCAGGGTCACCCTGCATGAGCTACAAAGCAGTCTGCAGATGACTGCTACTTGTGGTGGGCTTGGAGGTTCTCAGGTGAAGCCAATCTGTGATCCAAATCTGGTTGCTACTAGTGCCTGGTCTGGGGCCATTTAGCCAGAGGTACAGGGGCTGGAGGCTTGCTGAGGCTGACTGTTGCTTGTGTGAGAGGATTTAGGAAGTTGTGAAGCCTGAGCCAGGGTCAGCCATTAAGAGGCACTGCTTGGGAATCCAGTAGTTCCTTTCACCAATCCAAACTCCTGTGGTTTTTACAGCTGAAGTTATGGGGGCTTATCTTCCTGGCACTGGAACCCTGGGTTGTGGAGCCTGGTGTGGGGCTGGGACTCCTCGCTCCCAAAATATCCTTCCTGAATTTTTATCCACCACACCTTGGTGTGGGACCAGCCTGATCCATATCTCTACATCTCTTATTAGTCTGGATGGCTGTGGTTTCTTTAGGTCTGCAGTTGTCAGACTTCCATTCAACTTTATTTCTGATGGTTCTGCATGATGGTTATTCTATAGTTTATTTGTAATTTTGATATGGTTGTGCAAGGAGATGAGCCTTGTTTACCTCAAGCTCCATCTTGACCAGGTTTTTCCATCTTTGAGATGGGGTTTATGCAAATTTATTGGATATGTAAGTAAATTTATTTCTTTCTTGCTCCCACTTGATTTTCCCCAGAGTAATGGTTTCTTAAAAAATTTAATTTAATTTTTTAAATTTTATTTTATTTATTTATTTTTAGAGAGAGGAGAGGTAGGGAGAAAGAGAGGGAAACATTGATGTATGAGAGACACATCATCTGGTTGACTGTTGCACATCTCCAACTGGGGACCCAGCCCGCAACCCATGCATGTGCCCTGACTGGGAATTGAACCAGCGACCTTTCAGCTCATAGGCCAATGCACAATCCACTAAGCCACACCAGCCAGAGCTAAATTTGTTTTTAGAGAGAGGGTAAGGGAGGGAGAAGGAGGGAGAGAAACAACAATATGTGTGAGATACATGGATTGGTTGCTTCTCACATGCCCCCAAACAAGGACCTAGCCCATAACCCAGGCACATGCCCTGGGAATCAAACTGGCGACCTTTCCGTTTGCAGGCCGGCACTCAATCCACTGAGCCACACCAACCAGGGTCGAGTGATGGTTTTAAAAAGCAGTTCTGATCATGCCATACCTTAGACTCTTTCAGGGGCTTTACCAAGTCCTTAAGCATGTTTATGAGACCTCTACCTACCTCTCCGGTTTATCTTTTTTTCCCCGAATTTTTTAAACAAGCAGGAGCACAATAAAGAATATTCTTGAACTGTAGCTTGTGGGACAAATTCTGGATGTGAATATTAAAGTAGAACAGTTTAGCACTGACTGGTGTGGCTCAGTGGGTTGGTCATCGTCCCACAAAGTGTAAGGTCACAGGTTCAATTCCCAGGCAGGGCACATGCCTGGGTGGCCGGTTCAGTCTTCCATTGGGGCACATATGAGAGACAACTGATCTGTGTTTCTCTCTCTCTTTCTCCCTTCATCTCTCTGTAAAGATAAATAAAATCTTTTTAAAAGAAAATTTAAGTAGTTGTCTGCATAATTCAGCAACAGAACCTATAGCTGACACGTGTTGCTATCCACCAAAAATCTGTGCTCGCTTTTTTAAGAAAATTAGTTTTAATTATAATTGATAAACAATATTATATCAGTTTCAGGTGTACAACATAGTGATCAAACTTTCATATTAGAGATATGTCCTTCTAAAGGACCTCTCCTATTACAGACTATATTCCACCCTCCTCATGCAACTAGTTCTCAGCCATTGAGGACAAGACACATTGATGATTATTTCCAGGAGAAAACCTTTGGGAGTCAGTGTTCTGACTGCATTGCCCCTGCTTCTAACAAAGAGACCTCAGGGTTAACACGTTCACAGCAAACAAATGAACTCCAGAAACGTGACCTGACAGAAAGGTTCCTATATAGACACAGCAACCTTGACATGTTAGTTCCACAGAGATGAAGTTCTTGTTTTATTTTTAATTTTTTACATCCAACTGTTCAATTATGCATGTTCTTTTATTAATGGGTAATGGGAGTAGGCATAATACTTTGTAATGGTATTTAGATACTAGTAGATACATTTCTTTAAAGATTTTATTTATCTATTTTTAGAGAGAGGGGAAGAGAGGGAGAAAGAGAGAAACATCAGTGTGTGTGGTTGCCTCTCACACGCCCCCTTCTGGGCCCCTGGACCACAACCCAGGCCTGTGCCTTGACTGTGAATCAAACCCTTGACCCTTTGGACCTTCAATCCACTGAGCCACCCCATTGAGAGCAGTAGATACATTTTTAAAAGAAATGTACCAGTTTTTATTTTGTTTTATGCTATATGATACCTCTTATATGAGGCACATAAACTAATCAGACATAGAAGCTGAGTGTGGAATGGTGGTTGCCAGAGACTGCAAGGTGGGGATGTGAGGAGATGCTGCTGTTCAAGGGGTGTGAAGTTTCAGTTTTGCAGGCGATGAAGTTCCAGAGATCTGCACTGTGCCTGTAGTTGACAATACTGTGTGGTACTCTTTAACATTGGTTAGGAAGATAGCTTTCGTGTTAAGTGTTCTTACCACAATAAAAAAAATTGGATAAAAGGCCATTTCAAGGACCAACTTAATTTTTAGGAAGCCAAAAGTGTAAGTATATCTGCAAATCCTTGAACAATGAAATGTTACACTTGTGTGCACATCAAGGGAAGATGTAAGCATTTCCCTCCTTTGGTTTATCTTGAGCTTTTGTGCCCTTTTCATTCCCTGTTAGTCTTTCAATTTCCCG